TTTCAAAAAGTTATACGCAATTGTCTAAACAGTCTCTTAAGTTTCGAAGTTTAGCAAATATTCCACATAATGATGCCCTTAAATTACTTTTCCAGAAGACTTTGTCAAAACCAGCTGAGATACATAAATCTGGTATAAAAGGGAAGAAAACAGAAACAATATCGTAACTGCCTGTAAGTTGTCAGAAATCAAAAACGAATATAACTGGACTTCCCTTCAAGCTATAAGCTGTTTTCACATGACATTTTCAAAAACAAAGTAGAAGGAAATCAAATTGAAACGAAACTTTATAACTTTAAAAGAGAAAAGATATCTTCGGCTATCATTCGCAGAAATTCAAAACAATAGATATTTAGACATAAAGAAAAATAAAATAAAATTACTGCTACAGTCAGAACAAAATGTTTTTTATATATATATAACTTTTTTTTCTTGCTTCCTTTTTTCTCCAGGCAACAAAATATTGGTTCCATCAGGCAGAAATTCAATTTTGTGTTAGGCCAGTTCTACCTTCTTTTTTTCTTCCTTCAAACGAAGTAAAGAGAGAAATTCCAACTCTCTGAAATGTGACCGAAAATATTCAAAATATTATTTCTTCTTTAAAATAAAAGAAATGATAACAATAATAAGAAAGAAGAAGTAAAGCCCACCGGGTTTGAGGATTGAAAAACCTTTGCAATATAGCCGGAAGGCAGGGGAAAAGTATTGGTCTGTATAGTACAGTCTGTTCGCGCTTGAGTTTCCTCTGGAGGGACATTTTTAAAAGAATAAAACAATTCAGTAAGAAATATTTACAAAGAATATATCAGGTGAAAGAAGGGAAGAACGCATTTCTTTTCTTTAACTGCTGAGAATGCGCATTTAAATCGCTGAATTGTCACTTTTTTCCCTTCATTTCTGAATTTCTTTTCTCTTTTCCAACCTGCATCTTTCACTATAAATACTCCTTAAACGTTTGCTTCTTATTTTAGAATTTCTAAAATACAGAATAGTCGAAATCATTTGCAATCATTTGAAACATTAATTTTTATTTTTTTAAGCTTTATTTCATTATTTTTTAGTGCATGATTCAATAACGTTCACGATCGTAAAATTATTGAAGAAATCGACAACAAAAATATACTGAATATTGACTGAATATAAACTGAATGTTCAGAAAATTCCAATGAAACTATTAAAAACTTAATTCTAAATTTATACTAATGCTTCGATTTTGGTTTTAAAAACGTTAAAGAGAATTTATAATATATATATTTCTCTTACACGGCGACAAAAAAAGCCTCATTACAACTCCTCGAATGGCAACGATAGAAAATCGACCAATGATTGCCGCTAAAAATGTAATTTGCCAAATCTAGCTGAGGTGGCTCAACATAAGCGCTTTGAAAAACGGAAACTGAAATAGCCTTAAGCTAGGCAGAAGTGAGTAGTCTTTGTCGATAGATCTCTATTTTAGTATTTTTCGAAAGCGCTTTTTTTCACGTATTTATATATTAGGAATTTATCTGACGATTTTTGATTTATATCACGAATTTATTTGTTTTATTATTGTTATTAGTTATTCATTGAAAAATGAGTCTCAGTCGTGCTGTTACGCTTTAAGATTTTATACTATAGCACATTTCTAATAGGTTTAACGAATTACATGTCATTTATTTGAATTTAAATTTATTTTAATGACTTAGTATTTACTAAAAAGATGTAATTTTTTTTAAAAAAATGTTGTTATATGGATTTGAATGATTGTTTTGAATTCTTAGAATTTTGTGTATTTGCAATGTACCTAAGTTAGTAGCGAGCGGAACGAGCTTGGTTTGCGAAGCATACCATATAATATTATGTAGCAATTTTCGGGAGTTGGCACGCGTTAGCGAACAGGGGGGGCAATCCACTAGTGTTATATACTACTTAAACGCTAGCTTTGTTTTGATTTTAAGAACAGAATAGTGAAAATTATCTCTATCTTTAGAACAATTACTTTTTTGACTTTCAAAAATTTCATTTCATTGCATTTTGTGCATGATTCATTAGCATTCATAATAATGCTTTAATAAGAGAAATTGACAGCAAAAATCAGCAAAATATTGACAAGTAATGTTCTGGTAATTTATTTCGTACTGTCAAAAACTTAACTCTAAATTTCTATGAATGTTTCTTTTTTGTTTAAATTTTCTTGTATAATGGTTAAACGTTTGCGTCTTTTTTTTTAATTTCTGGGAACAGAAGAGTCAGCACTATTTCAGCTATTTGACATAATTATTTTTATTTTTCAAGGTAATATTTCTTTATTTTTTGTGCAGAATTGATAGCGTTTACAATTGTGCTTTAATGAATTGACGGTAAAATTCAAATGAATATTTTGACAAGCAAAATTCAGACAATTCATATCCAACCATTAGTAAATAAACTCTTAATTTATACTATATGTTCGCAAATTTCTGTTTTTTTTCCTCCTTTACTCCTTAAACACTCCTTAAGCACCTGGTATGTTTTTTGAATAACTAAAAATTGGAATATTCAAAACTATTTTCACTCAATTGATCTAAACTCTGAATTTATATCATTTATTTTAAGACTTCTGTTTCCTTTTTGTCTTAATTAAAAAAAGGACTAGCTTTCATTACGGAATTTATTTTTATATTCTTTATTATTATTTTATATATTCCATTTCACTGTTTTTATTATTTCTAAGTCTTAAATTTTTCACACTTACACTTAATTAAATCTGTATATGTAAAAAATAGATGATAAAAAATTCTTTAAAAGAAAGAAAAATGCACCTCAGCATTCTTTGTATTTCCCCAACAGTAACATACATTAAAAATATTAATAATACGTGTGTATGTGTTTTTTCCTTGAAAAATAAATCTCCTTTTCCCTAGAAAAAGATAAGTCGAAATTGCTTTAAGAATTAAGAAACTCACATATACATTAAATTTTATTATTTATGTCTTTTTTTAAATCTGCCATTTTTCAAATTACATTGTTCATAAATTGTTTCCTATTCATTAATGCTTAAAAACTTTTCATGAATCTCTAATTCGAATAAAAAAAAATGTTTCATTATCCAGTTAATATCAAAACTTATTTATCCCTTGTGTTTATGAATCTAATATAAACTGAAAATACATTAAGAGATAAAAAAATCTGCAAAAATAAAATAAAAAGTAATAAATGGAAAAACATAAAAATAGCACACTATTAATAACTTTAAATCTAATCATCATCTATTTATTGGATTTTTACCAGATATAAAGTATAAATACGCTAATTAATCAATACAGACGATATTTTAAGTTACAAATTCAGGCGCAAAATTTTTCGACCTCTACAGAACATGCTTTTTGCGATGATTTTGGATTATTAAACCTCAAAGTTGAGGAGGTTGTCGCAAAGTTAGAAATATGTCACCAGTGTTCTTATCGGCAGAGTGAACAATAGTTTGAGCACTTTACTACTGATATCATTTTTTGTGAACTTTATCATATTGAATTTGGTCTGTGGAACTTTGAATACCGATCAAATTATACTTGCACGCAACCATAAAAATTGCTCTTCTAAAACTATTGTTGTAAAAGCAATTTTAAATTAATATTTATTCATTTTTTATAATCTGTGTTTAGAATATTTAAAATATTGTGAAATCTAATTCAAATACTTTTTTAGTTTCAAACTATGTGAAGTTAAATTACAAAATCTAAAATTTGAACGCAGTCAGTCTGTCGAATACTTTTTATACTCAAAAAGCCAAATTTTTCAAAAGTATTATATTCTATAATATGAATTTTTTAAAAATTAATTTTTCAAAAAAGATTTGTCCGATGTGTTTAAATTTTCATAATGAGATAAAATAAAAATTTTAATTGTAATAGCAATTCAAAAATTTCTATCATTATTGAATTAATTCATATATATACATTTAAATACTTATTTAAAATAATAACTAAAATTAAGCTGTGATCCTACACAAAGTTGGATCCCTTAGGAAAAAAGTTGTTTTGGTGGGGTAGCAATTTTTTAACTACTTCCTTACATGCTTCAGATAGCACCGTTTTCCTCTAATACCCTTTAAAAACAAGAAAATTTAGCCAACTTTTTACAATACGCGAGTGAGGGGAGAAGTCAAAACACCCTTCTATAATGAATCGACTAGTCACTAGACCTTCGAGACCTCTATTGTGAATCGACTAAACCTCGAGACCTCACAGAGGGAAAGTAATAAATATTTTACCATTTAAATTTCCTCTAAAGGGCCCTCAAATTGAGAAAAATCATTAAAATTGAGCGTTTTTTACAGTTTTTTTTCCGTAATTTTTTTAGATCATATTATATATATATATTTAAACTTCTATCGCTAATTTTCTATGACATAAGACTCTTAAATAAAGATAATAATAATAATTTTTTTTTTACAAAAACCGGGTGTGAAGGAGAGTTACTGATGTTCTCGCGAGAAAGTCTGGAAGATTCCTTTTCGAATGTTTCTCGATTCCTTCCCCTTCATCCATATTATATACGGCTATACAGTTATTTAGAGAAAAAAATGTTCGTTATAATAATTTTTTGATAAAAAAAAACTATTTCTTTAGTTCACTGATTTGTTTATTAGCAAAACAAAATATTACAAAAAATATTTCAAAAAGTTATACGCAATTGTCTAAACAGTCTCTTAAGTTTCGAAGTTTAGCAAATATTCCACATAATGATGCCCTTAAATTACTTTTCCAGAAGACTTTGTCAAAACCAGCTGAGATACATAAATCTGGTATAAAAGGGAAGAAAACAGAAACAATATCGTAACTGCCTGTAAGTTGTCAGAAATCAAAAACGAATATAACTGGACTTCCCTTCAAGCTATAAGCTGTTTTCACATGACATTTTCAAAAACAAAGTAGAAGGAAATCAAATTGAAACGAAACTTTATAACTTTAAAAGAGAAAAGATATCTNATATATATATATACATATAGTAATTTTTATTAATTTTTATTTCTTTCTCAGGTACCTCAACAAAGCATTACCAGACTACCTCCAAAGAAGCAAATAGATGGTCTTCTCAGCTCACAGCTGGGTCTCAGATTTGTTGTTGTTCCAAATCATCTCAAGAATGGTGTTCTCACACTCACATGTAGAGCGTATATTTCAAAAGCAAATATGACGACCAAGAACGAGATAACAGCCACGAACAAAGCTAAAATTTCAGAAAACAGAGCAAGTAAATGACCAATAGTTATATAAGATTTACCAGTATTTAAATTATTAATCAACCATTCATTATTTTTCTTACATTTATTCCACCTAACATATTCGTCTTTACATTCGACGTTCATATTCGACTTTAGTTTCGATATTTTTTAAAATTTTTATTATACATTAGCTGAATATCAAGAGAAAAATAAATTAATCAATAAATAAGGATAAGCATTAAAAAATCATGCAGAACACTGAAACACAATGCTGGTACAGTTAATAAAGCTACTATAAATTAATTTTTTTATTTATTATAATTCTTTTCGTGGTGGCCTTAAGTTATTAGATTAAGGTGAATCATCCTTTTAGAGGTTCATCCCATTAAAATGACGATTAATTGTATCTTGTATAATTTTTGGTTGAAAAAAAAACACTCGAAACTCATATTCTTAAAGTTGATTCACCGTTGAATTAGTTAGTGCTAATTAATTGGTTAATCTGTCACTAGTTTTTCAGTCAAGTCAATCTCTTTTGAATTTAATTCCCAATTTCCCAATTTTAAGGCAAAATTATTAAATCTAAAACAGTTTTTCAACCAAAATATAAATGTATTTTAAATTATGCACATATTATATATATACTATTATATATAAAAAATATAATATTTATGTTTAATTAAGAGCTATTTTGCGGCAATTTAATTGGTCAAAAATTGATATAGGGTGATTTCTCTTAAAGCTACATAAACCTTTCCTAAAATCTTAATAAATTAGTTGTTAAAAATATAGAGATATCTCCGTTTTGAAAGCCATAAAATGCCTTTACCATTTCATCTATATCAGTAAATTAAATACCTAATACCGCGATAATCATTACTGTTATTGACATTAGTAATAAATGCCTAATTATTGAGGCATTCATTACTAATGTCAATAAGAGTTTGGAAGATAGATAGATAGTTAGATAGATATATACAAATATTTTGGAGTTCACGGAAAAAATTCACCGAAAAAATAGTATGTTTATTCAGAGAAAGCTAATTTTTGTGCTTGATTTCATAGCTAGAAATATCTTCTGCTCTTGCTAATTGGCATATTGAAATCCCCCATTCAAACCATTAATCCTACATGAAAATTCAACCATTAGCTCCAAAGTTATTTAGGTTGATAATTTTTTGTTCTTATTGTATGTAGTCCACAAGTACATAAAATTAAAATGCTTTTTAATTGAATTCTTGCAATCATTCCATTTTGATGAGAACTACATGGGAATAATTTTACCAGTTTTAAATCAGTAGATTAAAAAATAGATTTCGATTCAATTCATGAAGACATTAATGATACTATAAACAGTGCATCTTTGCTATATTTATCAGTAATAATAAATCGAATATCGTATTGCGTGTTCGCTTTGTTTAAGACTATCAAACTATTAAAAATAAATTCAAATACAATCTAATTTTTTAATGAGATTTGTTCTCAATTTTTCCTTGTATTCAGCAGTTAATGAAGATGGACCGTTAATCACTGGTGGCCGTCTAAGATATCAAGAAGGCAACGTTGTAAATGTGAATTGTTCTGCTGTTAAAAGCCACCCTCCAGCTGAATTACGATGGTATATTAACGATAAAGAAGTAAGTCAAACGAAATCAGCACGTGAGTATAAGTTTCAAAAGTATCATAAGTATGATTAAATGTGTTCATAAGTTTCGTCATAAGTATGATTAAATGTGTGGTGTCAACGGTGGGTTTCGTTTCCCAGTTCATCCGGTCATGAGATTGACATATTAGGCCTTCCGGGTCAGGCATGTACCCAGGTTCAAGCAACTAAGCTGCTTCATATGGTGTTCACTAAACACTTATTATTATATGTTTATATAGGCATCCATTGTTGTGTTAGGCATCCGATGGTGGAAAATAAAAATATAAATTCATAATCCTTCTCACATGGCGTTACTTCTAGCTTTCGAAGAACATGCGCTCGATTCTCATTGGCTGTAGGCCAAGTTGGCACGAATAAAATTCTATTCTGGTTGTTTAAACGTATAAGAAGAAAACAGTCAATAAATTATTTGTCTCATAGTTTATAGCTTGGCTACCATTTTTTGGGGTAATTTGACTCTGCTGAAATGGTAAAATTGCAATTAAATAAATGGTTATTTTACAACTTATTAAATTTTTTATTTACCATATCAAATTTCCAACTATTATTCTGTTTTTTCTTTTTACAAAACTAAATCGCTTTCTGTAAACTCAGATGAAACATGAGGTCATTCTGACCAGTGGTTTCCTTGGTTTTTAAAAGTGAAACTTTAATTGTAATCATCCATTATAGGAATGTTTTTAATGTGCTTGGATATTGCTCTATTCTACTATGACGGATTAACACGTATTTTTTACAGATAATTCATTTGTGTAATTTTTGAAACAAAAGAACACCAGTAAATAATACCAATATAAGAACTGTGAGACCGCTTTTGTTTTACTTCAAGTAATTTAAACCTTTGAATAAGAGCAATGAAAATTTTTATTGCATAAACGCTATATCACATCTCTCATACATTGATATGTTGATTTTTTTCACGGTTTTGTTGTTGCTGACTTGATATTTATTGCTTTTTTAACGTTACTTCATTTTCGGTTTTAGTTACGTACTGGGAAAAATCGGTTCAATTTCAAAATCCCGATATTAATATCGTGTCGCATATTAAATTGCAGCTTTTATAATGGACAAAAATAAAACAAAATTCTGTCCAAATTGAATCTTAATATTAGATAATTAAAATTCAGAAGTGCAATAATATAACTCAATTTTGTATTTCATTAAATTTGCAGAAGACTCTAATTAACTCTAATCTAATTCTAATCTAATCTCATACTCTTACATTCTTTGGAGCATGACTTAACTTTTTGACTAACTAACTAACTTTTGGACTTTTTCCAATAAGTTAAAAAAGTCATGAAAATAGGTAAAATATAATTTCAAAAGCTCTGAGTGCAAACATTTATAAAACAAATATAATAAGAATTCAACTGTCTCATTATTAATCATATATTAAATTTGAAAAAAAAACCTCTTCTTTGAGTACTTGTGGTCGTCTGATGGTACAGAGTAATTTAAAGTTAAACTCAATGTTTGAAAGCTCCAGTCTTAGTTTCTGTATCTATCTTTCAAACAGGTTAATGTTGCAACTTTAGGCATGTTGTGAAAAAGGTATTCATAAAAGTAATATTAAGTATATAATTAAATATTAAATAAATATTAATAAAATTCAAAAGAATTTCTTTGCAAATTATGATTGACATAAAAATTCCCAAGAAATTATCAACACAACTATCATTTTTATCGATTCATTTTAGGAAAAGTCAACTAAAAGCTATAGTTAAAAATAGCTTTTCAGTAGTATTACTGGATAACTGAATGAACTTTTCTTTTTTCATTAAAAGTTAGACACATCTCTAAATATTATATCTCCTTTTCGTATCCCAGTGTCTATAGATGCTTGATAGAGATATACGGCACTGCTAAGAAAAGAAAACGTGCATTGAATATTCTTATAGAAAACTGTTGAGAACCGAAAATTTTCTTACATATTAGTGTGAGAGAATACAAACAACAACACTCGCAAACGTTAAAGTAATGAGCCGATGAACCATCTTAGCAAGTCTTCCATGAACATTGAAAATGGAGACGAATGCGTCTTGTATTCAAATATTTAATTTTTTTAATTTACATAAGATATCTGCTAAGTATTGAACCTTTAGGGTAAAAGAAAATGGTTTATATTACTTTGTTTATATTGAATACTCTGTTTAACTATAACAGTCTATTAAAGTATGTGCTATTTTATTGTGATGATGTTCAGTTCATCACCACAAACATTAAGATAAGAATAAAAATAAAACAACAATTAAAAAGAATACATTCTTAAGTAAGAGAACAAGATCATTAGAATGATCACTATTCGCAAGGTGTTAAAATTATTTATTTAATATAGATCAACTAAGATATTTAGAGTTACAAATTTTGTTCCAGGGAGGCATTCACTCCAATTAATAATACATAAAAATTTTACATGAAATTATACAATATGAAGCTGCACTGCTAATTAATAAATAAAAAATAATAATTATGGGTGTAATAGAAAATTTTATAATATGACTTAGCTGTTGAGGATCCTCATCTTTTTTGTATCTTAACCCCAGCTCTCCAAAACCATGTGTGTCCCTGCCTTTTCTCTCACCTCCTCTAACCAAGCCCCCAAAACCTACTCCACTCTTATTGGCTGTTACCACCATCACAAAATAAGTAGAGCTATACTCGCTATTTCTTTTATTTTTATTTTGGCTGAATTATTTAAGGGCAGAAAAGGGCAGGTGAAAACTTATGAAAGAGAAACTAAAACTTTAAAGTAATTATAGCAGTGCAGCACAGATAAAAGTAACAAAACATCATAAAAGCAATACCACATTATTTAATATAAGTTATACATTAATCTCTTGAAATTTCTTCTTTGATATGGATATTTATTTATGGATATTCAACTTCAGGCTAATCGAGATTACTTGCGACCACTTAGCCCTATCCGTTATCCAGATGGTCAAGAATCTACATTACTTGGCTTACGTTTCACTGTCCAAGCTAGGCATTTTCAAAGAGGTGAAATGAGGTTGAAGTGTGTGGCCACTCACTTCAAAGTGGAAAATGAGAGAAAAACAGACTTGATAATCAGCAGTCGACAAGAGAGCTCTGGGTTGGTAGTCATTATTAACAGGAGTGGTAATTATCATTTTATAAGACTTTTGAATGGTATTCCTTATTCACATATATTTTTTTTTTTTTATAAGAGTTGAATAATGATTCTCTTTTAGTTTAACCGTTAAAGAGAATTGTTTGATTTAAAGAGTTCTAACTATATATTCTGACAACTTCATCTTTTTTTTTTTTTTTTTTTTTTTTTTTTTTTTTTTTTTTACAACAGAATTTCAAAATTAGAAACCAAAATGATGAATCTGCGTGTAAAGCAAATAACAAAACGCATAGGAGTATAGCATCGCTACTATCCGCAGTTGCTACAGGGAGTTGAAAATTGTGCTTAATATTCAAGGAATCTAAACAAAATCATTCTGTATTTTCAGACACGTTAGCCATTTACGCTCATTATTTCTGCAGGTGATGCTAAATGTTTTTCCAGATGCCACGAGAGATGCATTACACCATATACCTGGAGGCATACATATAAGCGCACGTTCTCAAATATACCAATTCTGCTGTCAGGAGACTAAGTCTTCCTATGATTAAACAGTCTTTTAAAAAAACCTCGAAAAACCAGATTTAAAAAATCTGGTGATCATGGTGGCCATGTGATTGGTGTTAGGCTTACGGTTACTAGGTTTATGGCTCTGACAGCTACGAGAACGGAGTGTGCGGCCAAATGCTCTTGAGCGTTTTTTTAGTATATTTGTATGACTGTGAGTAAATTTTTATAATTTATCTTAAATTTATGCAATAATTTTGCATGAAAAATGTACAAAAGAATTGTTCTTTGAAAAATATTATACGTAAAAATACTGTAATGCTGCCACTTGTTTTTTTTTTAAGTTTTAAAAATTTTAGATATCATTAATCTTTTAAATTTTCCTTTAATTATAATAGCATTTTTTAGAAATCAAACAATTTTCACTGTTAAAGAAAAAAAATAATGACGTGTAGGTTTTAACGGTGTATATTTTATTATACATTTATTCAACCAATTATATACATTTATTAAATAAATTTTAGAACAGATATCAAACAAAATAAAAACTTTAAATGAAACATTTCATAGAATCTTACATTTTTTCTTAAGATTATTCTTAGAATATGTTAACAGTTTCCAGGAATGAATTACTATAGTATGAAAAAATGCATTTGAAAAGTAATGTTTGATATTTCAGCATTCTTTGCAATAAGTTATTCAAGCAAATATATATAACACAAACCCTAAGTGAAGCATTAATAAAGTGTTTTTCTTAAGTTAAAATAATACATTCAAAACACTGCATAATGTTTTTTAATATTTGCTGAAAAATATTTTTCGAAGATATAAATCAGTTTCCAAGAAAACTTCCAACTAAAGAAAATTTAACATTTCTTCCAAAAAATATCTTGTACTATCCAAATAAAGTTATTCGAGGTACGTGTTTTTTTTTTTTTTTTTTTTTTTTTTTTTTTTTTTTTTTTTTAAATAATTATTCTAAAAGTTCTTTCCTTTGATGTTATTCACTGTTTCGCGTCACTCAAATTTCAACCTTTTTGACAATATTATGTTTTTAGAATAATTCCGAAATCCATTAGTTTTCAAATGAATAGCTTACTAAATAAAAAAATAATAAATTACAAATTAATTTAAATATTTGTAATTTAATATTTTATATAAATGAATTTAAAACAATAATATATTGAATACAAATCATTTGCAATTTAAATAAATTACAAATAATTTAGTCGTAATAACTGCTTAATGTGTGTATTAAGTTAACAAGAATTTAATAAAAACAAGAATTTACAAATATGAAAACAATGAATCAGGGTAATTGTTAAGTTTAAATGCCAATTTTTTGTTGAAAATATGCTTTGAAATGACTTGAATAATATTTTTTGACTTATATTACTTAAAATTATAGGTGCATTAAAAGTATCTGAAAAGTTTTAGGTTTTTATATACCTAAACGTCAATTGCTTTGAAAAAGAAATTGCATATAGCTATTTTTTATTTCTTACACGCAGACCCTAATAAGTGTTTTGAAATAAATATAAAAAATAATAATAAATTGCTTAAATGCTATAAATTTTTTCATGATAGTGTTTTAGATTTGAAAAAAAGGGCTTTTATGGATGAAGATAAGCTGATTCTAATACTTAAAAGAGAAACATCGCATTACTTATGTCAATATTTGCAAAATTATACTAGTTTTTGAAAATTGTTGGCAATCTTAAAAATATACAATGTACAATAACAATATTTGCTAACAGCGATGAACATTTCTAAACTAAAACATACCATCTGGTTAGATTTTAAACCTTTTATTTCTAAAATACTGATAATTATATTCGCATAAAAGCGCAAATAAGAAAAATGAAGTAATTTCTAAGAAGCTGATTTCTTCCTTCTATAATATTCGCTATAATACATAAGGCAAAGTAATATAACAAAGATAATTTAGTTAGTTCTCAGTGTTTTATATCTGAACCGTGTTGACTTAAACTGTTCAATGAGGTGTGATGGCTCAGTGTTAACTACTGAGCTCTCGTTGTGGGAAGAACCGAAGTTCGATACCCGGTAGTGGCTTGAAGCGTTCCCAGAATCCGTTGTATCCGTAGGAAAAGTGAGACAGTGTCAGTAAGAGCATTGTTATCATCATGCAGTTCTTCACGAAATTGTGAAACCTTAACATCTGGCCTTCTTGGCATTCAACGAACTGTTACGGGAATGCTTTACGAGTATTATATTTTTTCCAGTTGTTTAGTATGCTTTATCGCGATTTTGTTTTCCTTTCTGAATTTGACATTGTCCTGTTTAGACTAAAATTTTAAAGAAAAAGTTTTCTAAATTTCTTGAAGGTTTACAAGAAAACGAAAATAAAAACACAAATAGCGCCGAAGTAAATAATAGTCGAATTCAAAGACCTCTTTCCTTGAAAATTAAAACAGTATATATTCACTTACTTTTGAGCAAAATACATTGCGTCGAAAAAGATGGGGAAGGAAAAATGCCTGAGAGAGATGCTCGTTGGCTGTCGGCAGGATTTGAACGGAGGACCACCAGTTTCGTAGTTGGATACTCTAACCACCATACTTGTACAGCCCAATCCAGGAAAATTTAAGAAGATTTATGCTCTCCATTCACTTGAAAGTTTTTAAGACATGGCGAAATAAACAAAAAGTAAAATTATTGATCTATTAACTAAACAATTGGGACTACATTTTCCAAATTGCAACTCCTTGTACCATTGAAATTAGAAATCAGTATGTCATGATGTGTTATAGCGGCGGACACAATCTAAAGCTTCCTTACTTTCCCTGGACTTGGTTGTACAGCTGTAGTGATAGAAGCATCCTACTGCAAACTTGGAGGTCCTTGATTCGAATCCTGGAAACATCTCTTTCTCTCATTTCTTCTTCCCCATCACTTTTGAGACTATGATGTTATAATTAGTATATGATGTTTCAATTTTGAATAAACGAGGTTTTCAAAATCGACTATTATTTGTTTCGGAGCTCTTTTGACACTTTTTTTTTTTCAATTTTAGGAATCCTTTTTTACAGTGCAAAACACCCATTTGCATTTCGCATTGTTTTATACATACATTGTTTCAACAATGTTAGAGCAATTTTTTTTCTTTAAAGAAGCTTTTCTATTTAAAATTAAAATCTATCTATTTTCTCAGTAATTTTTTTTCCTAAAGTTTGATAAAGAATTGAAATAAAAAATAATAATTTAAGCAGGCACGCTAATACACATTTAAAGTTTTAAAGGGCTGGTTTGATTTGTTTCAAAACCTACTGTTCGAGACAGCATGTTCGTTTTTGGTCTACGTACCGTTCAACTTTACGTTCGATTTAATAAATCAGAAACACTTAGTTGAGCATTTGTAAAATTATATCTAGTCAGAGAATTTTCTGTGGTATAGAATAAGGATAAAATTCGTCGTGCTCTTATAAAACATATGAAAGACATATATTTCTTCACTTTTATTCCATAAACTGGTGAATGCACCAAGATTTCTCTTATTATCCATTTCAATTTATTTTTCAATAGATTTATAACCTTCTTAAAGCACAAGAAAAATAATTCAGAACACTTCTATCAAAGCTTCTGTAAGCAAAGTCAGCTTCCAAAGCAAAGATTAGCCATTTTCTCGATAATTAATCTGTCTTTTCATTTCCTTTTCAGGAGAAAGTGACCTGAAGACAAATGGGACTTCTCTTTGGCTTGTCCTGCTTCTAACTATTCTGATATGCATTCGGTAGCAAGAATTCTCACTGAAGCATAATTTATTTCCTCGCTGCTATGCAGTGACCGACTCTGTGATTGGAATTGCTTGTTCCTCCCCCCTCACCCAAAAAGATTAATCGGTATCTTTCATTTAATGAACAGCCCAACAACAACAAGAATGGTGTAGTCGTCAACCCCAAATAAAAATACAGAAGTTAATTGTTAAAATTGTATTGTTGAATATATTCCTGAATGATGACTGGTTATCCCGAAGTTAAGTGTATATATATAAATTGGAGTCATAATTATATACAAGTTAAGTGTAAATAGTTGTATGTAAACCTTCTGGAAAAACACTTAAAGCGTCAACTGAACCATAGAGTCTATGGGAAACTCAATATACTTTTGTGTTACCTCAGCAGCGCAAAATTATGAGCAACATTGTAACGAACTTCTCACAATATTGAATCGAAAAGTTGGACAAAATCAGTCAAAAGTCTAATAGTTTTCTGTATTGAAGGACTTTTTGTATTGTTTCCAACAGCATTAATATGAAACACATTATACCAATCTCACCAAAGCGTTAAACTAATTTTGCAATGGTGTACAACATCAATTTATGGACTTCTAATATTTATATTGAAAAAGCTTTTGTGTTATTTCAAACGAAAGATACTGTGCTATAAATAAAGATACTGTGCTGGCATAACCAATGTAATCAAACATATTTGAAACATCAATAGGGGTAATAAACAATAATTGCACTTCATGACCTTTTGGGCTGTTTCCAACAGCTCAAAAATGAGAAAGATGCTGTAGCACAATTATAAGCAAAGTTTTTAATTGAATTCACAATGATTTATAAAATGCATCATTAAAATGATGTCATGCAATATCTATTATTAAAAGATATTATTTAAACTTTTATGCTGTTTTCAGCTGCCTAATATTTAAAGGAAATTGTACCATAACGTTTACAGTTTTCAATTAAATTAGTGCTGTTGTACGCCATTCGTATGAGGTAGGTCATAAAATGTTTTGTGATTAGTGACCTTTTGTGCTGCACAAAAACTAATGCTACTATATATCATAATATTTCCAGTATTCAACAGAATCCCCAATGTTGAGATTATGTGTAAGAAGTATTAAACCTCAGAAAGAGGCTATGTGCTGCTTGAGGTATTATGATTTTTAAAAAAATTTAAAAATGACAAACAAATCAGATTAATATGTTAATGCTGAAGAGTAAAATGTTTTTATAACCCCGAAAAGGAGGTAGCATAAAGCGGCGCCAAAAGTAAATGCTGAAGCATATTTGAATTAGTAATGTAATAAATTTAGTACTCATTAAATTACTAAAGCGTTGCACGTTTTGTTTTTATTTTTTTTCCTTCTAATAAGCCAGGTTTCATCACGGATTTTTGTAAAAAATTGTATAGATGTTACCAGTTATCTAAAATTTAAAAAAAAAATATTTGCCAAAATAAAATAAAAAAATGCTTAGTTCTTGTTTACTTGTTTGTGACTTTATTACCATATAATGTCTTTGTAAATAATACATACCTCCTATTTTCCTAACATAAATATATGCCTGTATCTTATGAATTAAAATTATATGGCACAAATTGTTACTGAATTTCGTTTCAGAAATTGTAATACAAGCAAAAACAATAAAAACTATATACCTCGGTGAGATTTACTTGGTTATTTGTTCGCTTCAACTTAAACATTTTTTAATATGCGATCGAAACTCATAATTAGATAAAAAATAGAAATATGAATAAAATTTTAATAAAGAGGAATTTATGTTAATATTTCAAGGTAAAAATGATGCAGAAATTTAAATAAAATTATAAATTGTGTTCTTTATTCGTTAGGTACCGACATTTATCAGAAAATCTTCCTTCCGGTGCTTAAAGAATCGAACTACAATCAGTTTGCTCTCTCCCCAAATTTTATCTCATTTTTTACTAATGTTTTCCACCTTATCAAACCAGAAAATATTTATATTACTTTTGTTGTCGTTGTTGTTATTGTTGCTTATACTCTTGGTCAAGAGCCTTAGACCAAGTCCAGAAGATCATGTCGCATCTGCAAGTCATAGACAGTCTCTCCATCACTCATCAGTTGCCTCACAGAGGCACCAATGCAATCCAAAAGATGAGATGGAGAAGCGATGGCCGAGCAATGACAATAATAAGTCTTTTCTTTCGCTCTGAAGGTCAAACACTTCATATGGCCGGTCCTAAGTCTTGACAAAGCTGTTTGAGCAAATCCGGGACAAGTGCACTGCAGGGATAATCCGGGGCATTTGGCGGCATACCAATCATGATCTGGTGGGTGCTTCCACGCTGAATTTACTCCAGCTAACTTCAGTGAGTGAACCTCAGACACTAGTAGTTTAGAGGAAGGGGGAGTAGCAAGTTCACTCCCTTCCTTGGCAAGCCGATCAGCAATCTCATTTCCATAAATATCCACATGGGAGGGTTTGCACCGAGCCGATCTGAGACAAAGTAGTCAATTTGATAACGATTTCCTGTCCCAAATTTTCCAAGACACTTGGCCAGTTCTTCAAATATTGAACTGAACTTTTGCTACCCGTTAATATGTCAGGTATGCCAGAGTCCATGGATTAATTTTATAATTACTCATTATGACGCAATGAATAGTGAATTCTCAAAAATTTTAACAGCAAACATTTGAGAATTGCTGTTCGTTGAATAAAATTCAAGATACTTTTAAAAGAATACAAAATTTACCAGCTGAATAGGATCTTGAAATTATGACTTGAAATATTGTAGATATAAAAATAAACTGGACTTACATTTGCTTAGTAAAATACGCTTATCAAAAGGAATGCATTTTCAATGACTTTACACTTCAAACCTTCCTTCAGATTCATATTTATTATTAAGTTACAACTGCAGAAATTTGAAACCGAAGATGCATATTTTTTTTACTCAAATGATTCAATGATAATAGGATTGCGTGGATTTAGATACGAAAGTCCAATTAATATGTGACATTGATCTGCAATCATTTTCTCAATAACATAATCAAATCGATAACTAGTTGTTTAACATATTGCAGCATGCCTTTTGTGGATAAGAGTATAGCTTTTATGCGTATAGGGAAAAAAATATCATGTTTTCACATGCTCTAGCTTTAAAGTAGAAAATCTTTATATATCTACTTTTCTGTGTTTTTAATAGATTGTAATAAACAGAACAATTATAAATTATAACTATAATCCATTATTTTATGATGATAGAGAAGATAACTGAATCGTGTCTGTTTATTATATGAATTTTTTATGATAAAAATAGTCAATTGGATCATGTCGTTTCAAGGTATTAAATTATAAAACGAGAAAATTGAATTACTCGGCAAGTTGCATGGCAAATAGAGCACAAAATATTACCTAATTAAAAAAGGCTATTCACACTGTTTTTTAAAACTCATTAAGCTGATCTGCATTAGTTTCAGTTGCAAGTTCGAAGTTTAGAATCATTTGAATATTCCAATTATAATTATTATATTATAAAAAAAATTATAAACATATAAATTGAAGTAACAACTATGTAGGGAATTTCGTAAATATCAGCCACAGTATGTAATTTTTGGAATGCTTTTCAAAATAAAGTTGAAAATGCCTACGTTTTGGGATTCACTAATTTAAATTAAAGAAGGAAAGAAGCAAATCAATTCATCAAAATCTTATGAATCACCGATGCGTAGGGAGAGATTGAAAGGAATATCCAGTTTGAGTGCTGTGAAACTTAGATGCGTTTTTCAACAATCACCTTGACAGTCTTCTTCCTCCTGACAATCAAACAGGTTTAGATGTCTTCCATCTCACCAAAAGTCTTCTAGATAACTTTTTTTTTAATTGGTTTGATTATAGATTTTTCAAACATTGATTTTCCTACTTCACATAAGTTCAAAATAAAAATTTGCTCCTCAAAGTAAGTGAGAAACTGAACGTAATCAATTAAAAAAAAAGGAAAACAACAACACAAATTTGTGAAGCCTTTCAATGAATGAAAATCATATTAAGATATTTGACCAATCACCACCATCAGCTTTAATCACGTGCCGTGAAATACAAAGCTTTTTAGTATTAAGTTTATGCATTAAAATGAAACTGGTCAAACGATAAAAGGGACTTGTTCCCTTTGTCAGAAAATTTTTGAATGAAAACTACAAACTCGGGGTAAAATTCTAACGTTAAGCCTTTTCTCATTTTATTTTTTTTCTCTGTTATAAATTTTTAAAAATCTTCATTCTAATTCATATTACTTAGTACCTACTAAAAGGCAATTTTACAAAATATTCTTCACATTTTAATTAGGCTTAATAAAAATGTATGCAAATACAATACTCAACAACACGTTTATTTAAATCAAATTATCAATAAAGTAATTTCCTAAAGGTAAAAGAAAAATCCTTTCTAACTCTTTATGCTGATTTTTGTTTAAGGGCCCCTATTTTGCTCTAAAAAAACTCTTCTTTAACTAGGCTATATATTAATCTATTAATATTTATTAGACGAAATAGTGTTGTTGAATATGACAAAAATAATGAATTCAGTTTATAATGAACCTATATATTAGGCAGAGTGTAAATACAGATTCCATTAATATGTATATAATGTAAATGCAGATCCCATTATCATTTGCATAATAAAAAGAAAATAAAAATAAAAATCGATTTTTTTTTTCTAGATTACAATTGTAAAAGATGCAAGATTTAAAATTTTTAGCCATCTACAAAAATTAAAATACATATTTTTATTATTGGAAACAGCTTGCTTTTGAATAGGAAATAAAAGTATATTTTAAAATTACTTTCAGCTAACCTAATTAACTGCTGACATTATTATATTTTAAAATTACAACTATCAATATGCATAAGCAAAGAGTAGCGAATGAATTACGCATCCAAGATACGACGCCAGAATAAGCGCATTAGATTTAATGAATGGCGGAAATTGAACAAGAAAATACTTCAAATGAATTACGTATTATTAGGGGAAAATCATCAGGAAAAGGAAATTATCATAAATAATTTAAACACAGAAAAGATCACGTTCGCTAAATTAGTGGAATGGATATTGCAACTACTAAGACAATAAATTACGTAATCCATCTGAAATTTAAATTCAGTATTTAAACTTTTGTGTGCTATCTTTTCATATTTTATGCTTTGGCTGAGTGGCATATAGCTAGTGATAAAAATCAAATAATTCCACTGATTAAGTCCGTAGATTAATTAAAAAGTTTCTTATCGTGTGAGTTTGATAATACTCATGCATTTTAGATCTTATTTAATATGAATTAAATTAAATTCATCTTATTATAATATTATGTCGGAATTTTCAACTATGACTAAATGAATCCATTACTTTCAATTTGGATAAAATTGGTGATTCAATTAAATGATGCAAATTACTCTGGAGTTCGGGAAAGGCAGACTTTAACCAAAATAATTCATATCTTTTAATAAAAGATCAAACAAAAACTACGAATGCAAAACAATTTTTTATTTTGCAGCAATTCTGATTTTATTTTCATTATATAACAATACCAACTCATGATATTTCTACCAGTGTCCCCGATTCTGAGTTTACGACCGTAGACTTTTAATTTTTAACCTAACCCAGAAGATAAGGCAACTTCTGGATCAGACATTAAGACAAACTAGCCCACGCGTAAGAATTTCTGATGGAACTAACCCTAACTTGCTTTGCATAGAGAGGAAAACTACGAAAACCTCCCACGGTAGCCCGAAGGATTCCAACCCTGATCCGTCTACCACTGAGGATATTTTATGTGAGAATTGCAGCCGAAGCGAGCCATGAGCGAGATTCGTGTAAACCAAACACAGCTGGAATTCGAATTTGGGGCACTTAATAGAAAGGCAAACTCTATACCCCCTGAGCTACCACAACTCAACACAATTTTATTCAATAAATTATTATTGTTTCTCAGAGTACAAATAAATGAATCATACTGCAACGCGAAGAATATGGTCTAATTAGTGTTGAATAATACTATTGTATAAATTCGCTGTGCCCTTAAGGCTCTGGGAGGCAGAAAAAATTGGAAAAAAAATTTCAACGAAAATTATGAGAATTGTAGTCAACGGATGCATATACAAAATGAAGTGATATGTTTTTCCTACTTTTTAAAGTGATTGATCAGAATCAGAAAACTTTATGAAATAAAAACTAAATACAATTTTACAATTTTAATGGCTTACACCAGGGGTGTCAAACTCGCGGCCCGAGATGAACATTTTTGCAGCCCAGTCAGTATATCCAACTCAAAGTGAAAATAAAATAGAAATGTGAATTAGAAAGGAAACTAGCATATAAAATTATAATATACTTTATTTATAAGCCATATGGATCATTTTAAATTGTACGGGCGAAAATGTAAAATTCTAATTGGCTTGTGGCATCTGCCATTTCAGGGATACTGCATCTTATCAAAAATACGCAGAAAAAATTTCAAATCTTAGAACAGAATTTGAAACAAGGTTTAAAGATTTTAATTCCTTGGAAGACAACTTTTGTTTGTTTTCTTCGATTTTCTCAATAAATATAGACTCAGTACCCAGTAATATGCGAATGGAAGTGATTGAGATTCAGTGCGACTCAAATTTGAAGACAAAATTCATTGAAGTGGGTGT